TCCCCCCCCCCCCCCCAATCTTAGACCTTTCGCGCGGCCCCTGCTCGTCGTAGAAGATCATCTACATTTTCTTCTTCTACATCATGTTCAAATTGTATGCCTTCATCTTCTACAATTTTTTTTTCTTTCATTTATAAAGCAAACTTTTGGCGAATTGACTCGTCAATTGTATCCGTTGTGTATATTTATAATTATATAAAAACATAGATTAATTCATTATTTCAACAATCACTTTTTTCTTTTTTCTTTTTGTATTATTATTATTATACCATTGTTCTCTCATATTTTATTGTCAGTTTTCATATGAGTGTTTGCAAAAATCAGTCGTTTCTCTTCTTTTTTTTTCGCTTTCTGTTTTGCTTGTTCTGATAAGAAAAAAAGAAAATAAACTGACTTATATGGATATTGATAGCTGTTGAACATACAGTATAGTTAAATTTTCACTGTAATATGTGTTCCTCTTAGACATGTGCGAGACAAAGTTTTTATTATTTATTTAGCCGACAACTAGGACTTATTTGGGTTGTCTCTCTTCAGTATGGAAATAGAAAATTTTCATAATAGACTACTCTCATTGAGGATTATTCCTGTGAAAATATTCAAGGCGAGAATTTGAAAGTCAATTTTTCAAGTAATCCAAAGAAAGATGACACCATTGTGATGAAAAATGCCATAAAAATGGAATAGTTCGTAAGAATTAAGCTAGGAGCACGAAACTCTTCTTCGATATTGAGAGTTTCATAGGGTCCACATAATACACATTCTCTCAAGTCGAAAAGATTCTCTCCTTCGTCTTCAAACGATGGAGACGCTCTAACTGATTCATCACTTTTGAGCTCCTATTTCTACCAAAGAGTTTGGAAGTTTAATACATAAAATACCTATATATAGGATTGGTGAACGATGAGCACGGACTGATGAGCATGGGAAGGATGGGCACCGGAACGATGAGCACAAGAAAAGTTCAGCACTAGGAAAGTTAAGCACGGGAACGTTCAGTACGAGGAAAGTCGAGCACATAAAAAAAAATGAAAGTAAATATCAAGTAAGGATGTGGGTATTGGTATGAGTTTGGGAGTGAATGTTGTCCTCTAGGACAAATACACCGCACCGACTTCCACACCTACAGCCGAGACCATGACAAAAATGAATTAGAAAATAATTCAAAAAATATCATTTACACGGCCTTCAGGGTCTAGCAGGATTTCGCGACACCCACACCGAGAAAGATGTAGTGTATGCGGAACTGTTGATTACAATTGAGCTGGTTTACCAATCTTTGA